GTGTATAAAAACATCGTTTTATTATAATTTTGACTAAAATAATGCCAGAAGCTATAATAGTTGAAGACTTAATAAAAAAACGCTGTGGCTCCCGTCCCGAGGCGGGACTTAAGTTCAGTCCCGATTGACGTCATAATTTTAAGATTTGTTATGTTATAATAAAATAATAATAATAAATTGTACCTGTATACATGTTAAGGGCACTTTAGTTACGTCATAAAACCAAACCAACCCAAACTCAACAACACAACCCAACCGACCCCGCCCCATTGCCCCCCCCCCGCCCCATTGAGCAAAAAACCCAACTAAAATGGGCAAATTTATGTTACGATAAAAATAAAACACTTTTTAACAAAGAAACAACAAATTTATAAATTAAAAAAAGTTTGACTTCTAGTGGGATCGAACCCGGTACCTCTCGCATGCCAAGCGACCGCCCTACCATCTAAGCCATCGAGCTTGACACAAATTATAAAATCTCGGGGAATAAAAACCGATTTACAGTGCGTGACGTCAATCGGGACTGAACTTAAGTCCCGCCTCGGGACGGGAGCCACATCGATAAAAAAATCTAGAAGTCTAGACTTAAGTTGCATGGAGAGCATAATTAAATTAACTTAAAAGTATTGTATTTGCTTTATTTACCATAATGTTCTTTGTAGAATGCCTTTTGCTTATATGATACCGATGCATTGGTAAATAAAAACAACCTTTTAACATAAAAGTAAAAGAACAATTACAAAAGAAAATAGCATTTAATAAACAAATGCACGAGACAAGGAAAAAACAGTAAACAAAAACTTAAAGGCTTTTTCATATGTGGTATATAATAATATTTAAATAATAAAAGGTGTACTTGTAAATAAAAACATTTGGGGCGATATAAAATTCTAGCACCGCAAAACATTAAATGAAACATTCATAGCGCCTGGTAGCGCACCTTTATTTTATAGTTATTATTCGCTTGTATTAAATTCAATTTCTTTGGTAGCACACCCGTAAAAAATTCCAATCATGTTAAATGAATTGAAAGAAGAAAAAAGGCGCAAAAATGAGATCAGTATTTTTTAGCTGTTAAATACTGCTATTAATATAAAAAGTTAACAATTGTAAGTCACATTTTGTGATATACTTGTATATAACGGGTGTTCCAATAAAAGTTTTTGGATTTTTTTGTTTAAAACATGTTTTCGTTTTTTTTCTGCATTCTAAAGACCAGTTACATGTCTACTAAAAGATCCTACATACTTGTACAATGCATTTGTTTAGCGTATGTATCCTTGTATCACTTGAGAGCTGTGATGTCGGCTCCTGCAGATGTGCGACGGAAGCTATTCAGAGCGGACTCCACGTCTAACTCGCAGCAGAGCAGCAACAGCAGCCCAGCAGATAAGACCTGAAGATAGTACATGCTATTGTACCAAAACGTCGTCAGACATACGGTTCTTTTAAGAACCAAAAACCGACAACACGGAGCAGATCCCGAAAAACCACTAATACATATATATATATATATATATATATATATATATATATATATATATATATATATATATTAGGGTGTGCCATTTGTAGAATTTTTTCAATAAATAAACATTCTAAATACTTGCAGGAATATGTAAAAATGAGCCTCTCCAAAGGGCAACCCTTAATATTAATATAAAGAGGTCTCATCGCTGGTATCTATTTTCTATTTAAATAACACGGGAAAAAAATTATTTTTTTTTGTAATTTTATACTTTGGTAGTGGAAACTGGACATACTTTGATAGGAAATTGAATGCTCTACAAAAAAGGTCTCTTATATTTCTTCGCTAAAGACAGCCATTTTAAAGATAAGCGCATGTAAAGTTCAAAATGTATGAAATTTTACTTTTTTTCTATACATAAATATTCTAGTTCTTTGGGTAATTTGAATGATGTTTCAACAAAAAATTAAGAAATTGAGATTAGGGAGAATCTAGATTTTTGGAAAATTTTAACCATTTTTCATGATAATCTATTTTATTAAAAAAGTTAAGTAAAATCATTACGATTTTTCAATTGTTTTTTCATGACAGTCAGGATATTTCCGTCGATGCTCTTTAACAACCTGTATTAAATATTGAAATTGTTCTTCATTTTGTCAAGCATCCGCTAGGTCATATACGACATTTTTTTTGTTTAACTGCATATTTACTTGATAGTTTTCATCATTAGGCCATAATAACACATCCTTTTCAAGAAAGTCATCACTTAAATCGAATTTTTCGAAAAATCTCTCAAGCTACGCTTTTTAATGATTATGGAATTCTTTCGAGTTTTTATTGCATTAGCCATTTGCTTTTCAACGTCAATGGAAATAGTTTCATCAAACAACCCAAGAATAGCCAATTCTTCATTAATATACCATAAGTGACCGGCTTATTTCTCTGTAGCAACTTTTGAGACAGAGGGATTCTGTTTGTTGTAAATGATCAAGTTTTGCATTAATTCTAAATCTTGTGCCGGCGCAGAAGTAGCAGAAGTCGAAGTAAACCAAGCTTTTGTGTAAAACAAAATAACAAAAATTCAAATTTCTCTCAAAGTTTTTTCTTCAGATTTAGTTAGAGTAGATTCTAAGTAGTTAAAAATAAATATAAATATTTTTAAACTGCAAATGGCCTTCGCCATCCCCCTCGCATGGTGCATAGCACCAGGACGTTTAAAACGAATGATTTGGCTTTGATTATCCCCGAAAAATATCAAGGATACACAGTAAATCAACTCTAAGCAACACTAATTGAATACGTCAATGCAGAAACTGAATATGTCCTACCTATCTAGTTTTGAGATAAATAAGAAAAACTGAACAGAAAGTGGACATGTTCTAGACATATTCAGTTTCTCTACTATATAATAACGCCTTTGTATAATCTAGATTACCGTGACATGTGAAATTTCTACGCCATTCGATCGGGCACCCTTTACTTATAGTAAATCCATGTTTAACTCAATATCCCTAAAAAGTGGACATATTCAGTTTCTGCATTGACCTATTCAATTAGAGTTCACATAGGTCCACACTAAATAGTGTTGTTTTATAACATATATTAGAGTTAATTTGTAGTGTAATTTTCCCCAAGTAAGCAAGTATGATTTAACACTAGGATAAAGTAATTTTACACTGTATTTAAAAGTGTTAATTTACCTAAAATCGTGTACTTCTACACTTCCTGGGTAAAATCCCACTTTTGTTCAGTATAAATTAACACTACTTTGGAAAAGTTTTAATTTTAGAAAGGTACTTTTACTTTTTTAGTGCAAACTTCTAGTGTAAATTAACACTATTATTTGAGTAAAACCTATTGGTGGTAGTGAATAAAACGAAAAGGTAAATAAACATTTATTTGGAATAAAAATCTATGACAATTATCAAAATCGGTGCCTTTTAAAATATAATTTTATATTTGAGTCGTATGGCTGGCTTAAGTAAAATGGTTCCTTAAAACGTAAAAGTTTTAGATCAATGCAATGTTTTACAGGCTGTTAACTTGTAAGCAATGAATTATCTTAAGAAATCATCAGTAATCCATTTTTCTGTTATAAAAAATGGGTGATCCCATTGGGAGAGAGGCGTCAGGCGGCTGTATGTCGTGGATTTACCACACGTGTACAAATTTTCCATAAAACTAATAAAAATGTAGGTATAGGTTAATGTGTGTTTGTATTTATATTATAATATAAATAATAATTGATGTTACAAGTACCCGACCTACTGCCGTAAATTATTGATATATAATATAGCTCGGGTATGGACATCCTTTTAACATATTGGTATTTATTAAGTATTAAGGCTTAAAGAAAAAGGAAGTATAATACTTACCAAAAAATAAGAATGTCCTCTTATGGATCCACTGTAATTAAAATCTAACTGAACAAAAATGTCACACTTCCACAACGCAGTATCTCCGGATATGCACTGCGTAGGTAGATAGGTACCAACCAAACATTTTAAAACGCATTTCGGTTATTACCAGTTTTTTCACTATTTTGCCACTATTGGTGTAATTTAACTTTAATTGTGATACAATGTGCACTAGTAGTGTTAAGAAAAAAGAGCTCTTAGTAACATCAAAACAGACAAAGAAATTGGCATGCACTGTAGTGTACATTTTGTCACTATTTAACACATTAAGGGGTAATAAACACTCGCATTAAGTTTTTCTATCCTTTTGATTTATTTTAATAATAAATAGTGTGAATGTACCAATGAATAATGTTCATATTCTTTAAACGTGTTTAATAAAGTTAATAAGCACTAAATGTTACCTAGTGTATTTTGTAGTGTAACTTTTACACTTACAAATCCACTCTAATATTTTTACCCCTACACTAAAAAATTTACACGGGCAAATTTTTTTACTGTGTAGTTCTAAAAGTTCCTTGTAGTCAACTTTTGCTTGAGAAATCTGAAAAGAATCAAAAAGTAATTGGATTGTACAATTATTTTATAAATTGGACCAGATTTTACAGGCGAATAGTTTTCGAAGACAGCTTTTAAAATAACCTCCATATGATGGCGACATGGTAAATAAATTAATTCTCGATGAAGAATTCACTCTATTTGAACACAGGTTCTGTTTAATTTACCTAATTATTAAATAACAAATATTAGTTGAATCAACAATTGGTACAATTTATCTTATAAATAGATAACACAACATTTAAAAGCGCAGTTTTTATTTTTTAAATTTTTAATGTTGATGCCTACGCTCTGAAGCATATAATAAAGAATACTTATATTATAAAATTATATTATTAATTTTATTATTACAAATTTTTAATAACGTTTTTGTTTTTGGCATTGTAACCTTGTTAAATTGTTTTCTATATTTTTAAATACAGACAAAATGCAGTTTACCACAATTTTTCAGACTTTAAATCATATTTTGAAAGTTCATCAAAAGAAATAAAAGTCATTCATATAATAAATAACATAAATGTTAATAGTGGCTAAAGAATAATATTTTTTTTAATTTTAGGTTGCCACTTGTGCAAATAACATACTACTACTTCATCTGGGCTCTGTAAACATAGTTTTGGGAATTTTGTATCTCGTGTTTTGTGTGCCAAGCTTAAAAGGAGCAGAATGGGTAACAGTTGGAATACCCTGTACAATTTACGGATTCTTTTTTACCTTGCTTCATCCGATGGTATTATGGACAATATGCGGCCTAAATTGTGACAGATACTACGCCATCGCTGCACCTTTACATTATACACATATTATTAGTCCCAAAAAAGTAAGTATAAGTTAAAACAAAATATTTAATTTTTTCCCAAGTTAGTGAATCTCCTCAGCATGGTTAGCAGCAAATATGTGTGCTAACACTTTATTATGAACTTTTATATATATATATATGACCTTTCTTCGTTGCATTTTGTTTTTTCTGTTCTTTGATCTCAAGTCTTTTTCAAGGGTAATATAACTTTCGTGAAAAGGAAAACGTCACAGGGTGCCATATATTGCAAATCCTGGACAACGCAAACTTTTTAAGCCGGCATTATCGATGTCCAAAAAGTTTACTATAGTATACAATGCTTTGAGCCGCACCATACAAAATGTCTAGATCGCTAGAAAACTCTTTAAAGTCCGCATTTTCAAAAACAATTTTCTTAATTTGTTTTACCACAGTCACCACCAAATACAAAAACCTGATCAAAATATAAATCTGTTGATTTTTACAAAATTTGGGTTTATAAACCCTGTAACTAAAGGACAAAATTAAAATGTCATATGTAAAATCAAATTCTAAGCATAAAATAAAGAATAGATACATTTTAACAGATCGGGCGAGATATTTAATTTATTTAAAAAAAACATTTAAAGTAATAAATGTTATTTGACAAGCCGAGCAAATTAAGGAGAAACATTGCCTATTATCATATTGCAACTAATGACATGCAAATCTGCACAGTTACTTTTATTATCTTCCTTATGCTTCTATTAACCATTATATTGCATTTTATTTGTATGTTATTTCATTTTATTGTATTGCATATTATTTATTTTGTTTGTATCTGTATTATATTTATGTTTGGAGAGTGAATATTTATTTCTATATTTATATTCACCATGATCAACGATTATTATAATAATTGTCATCTTCAATGAAAACAAATAAATAAAGTACATACTAGTATAATACTTGGTAATTATAATTAAATTTGTGTAAAACTAAAAAGCAATCTTTGTAATTGAGGCCTGTTATAGCAAAACCGACAATGTCCACTTTTGGTCAAAAATTAGATTTTTGGCGGAGACTGTACTTCAACTAATTATCTATAAGATGATAAAGTTTATGTGCTGCAAAAGGAGCTAAATCCTGCCTAAAATCCTATTTTAAAAATGACATGTAGTGCAAAGTCGACAATCTCCACTGATAGATTTGCAGCAAAGTATACAATCTCCAATTCCACCATTAGAAATTAGTAATTTGTATCACCTGATATCCTAACATTTGATATTATAACGTATTTTAGAGATTTAATTTTGTGTTTTTTACTGGTACATACTGTTAAGTTTTATTGCAGTAAATTGCACTTAAAAATATATTTAAAATAGGTATATATACGTTTTATTGTTTTAAGAATTATAAAAAAAGTTATCTTGTTTATTTTGTGCTATTATACCATAATAAGACGTAAAGGTAAAGGCTGATAATGTCAAAACATTGCAAGTAAAACATTACGGGGCAAAGTGGGAAGAAGATGATGAGTTGTACTATAACAACTTTTTTGCATGAGTCAATCTGGTCCCAGATTAAGAAGAAACTCCAGATTTATGTGGTCCAGTTCAGAATTTTCCCACATTGATTGTATAGTTAAATTTTATAACCATTAAAGAAAAAATATAAAATTATTTTTTGTTTATTTTTCTAAATCTCCTTAAACGTTTACAACAAAATGAGCAATCTCCAGCAATTCATATCAAAGTCAGCAATCTTCAATTTATAATTATAGATTTCACCTATACTATGCATCCTGGAGACCTTGTAGTTTGCTACTAGACTGACAACAACAATATTTCAATATAATATATAAAAAAATTACAAATCTAGAATTTAAAATACCAAAATCAATTATCTCAATTTACTCAGTTTTAGTCTGACGGGAGATTGTTGACTTTGCACTGACAGGCCTCAATTAGTAATAATTAAAATTGACATCTATAATAAAAACAATTTATTATTATTATTTTAAGCATGTAATTATAAATGCATTTAAGCATGTAATTATAAATGCATTACCCATGGGTAAAACCAAAAATCTATACATTATTATTATTTTATTATGAGTCTGTATGACTTTTGCAATTTATAACTATTTTTTCTAAATTTACTTCATTAAATCTATGGTCTACTCGTCCGGTACTTTTCTATGACAATACTTCTTTAAAAATCCTTTAAACAATGGGTTGTTGATTTTGCAGAATGAAATGTTAGCATTAGCAAGCTTAAACAAGATCTGCTATAAAGGTTTTTTTATCTTGTTGAGATGAACTCGAACCTTTCGATGTAAGAGATTCGTTACTTTTATGTTTCTTACTCGCAACGTGTTTTCATATGACGTTTGTGTGAGTACAAAAAGGTAGTTTGACAAACATTACATTTAAAACTAGTATCATTCTAAACACTTAGAACGCCTGAAAATGGTTAAATCAGAATGTTTAACTTTTTAGCCATTTTATTCTTTAGCTCGACTATCTAATCTCCAAAAATAACTATTAGCATCAGCCTAAAATGATTTTAGTCACGAACAGTGTTCCCAACCTTTCAGAGTAATAATTCCCTTGTTGCATGGCAAAAATTCCCTATTTCGTGCCAAAATTCCCTGCTTTCAATGTTGCCAAGAAAAATGACTTCATATCAAAAATACAATTTTTAAAATAAATTTTATTATGTTTGTAACAAAAAAATATGATCTAAAAATAAAATAAAATTAAAAATAAGTGTCAAAACAACATCTGAGGTATATACTGCAAAAGCAACCTAACCTTAAAAAAAAAATCATTTTGTGTTTTATCTTCAAATATTTCTATTATGCGCTTATCTAGTGAGCTAGCCTAATAAAGTATATTTTATATACAGAGTAGTAACTACTCTCTATATTAAAACATTAAAACATCACTCGATAAGCGCATTATAAAAATATTTCGAGATAAAAACACAAAATGTTTTTTTTCAGTTGGGCCGCTTTTAAAATGTAAAGGTAAACATTAGGGTGTGTCATTTTTAGGTGACATTTTTTTTTTCGCTGTTATACCAGAAATTCTAATACTTTATAGAAAATAAAAAAATTATGCCGCCGGGTAAAAGGTTCTAAGTGCAATAGCGGCTTAGCTCATTTAAAAATTCAATTTCCCATTGAAATAAGACATTTTTGTTCGTTTTAATTAGATTTTTCGCTGTTAAAAACTTTTTTCCCTAAAAACTTTTTTATAGCTTTTGTAGGAAATTAAATTCTCTACAAAATCATCCCTTTGCTCGAAGAAAAATAAAATGGAATTTGAGGTCTATTTTTATAAAAGTTTATATTTCCAGCGCTATAACTCTGAAACTACTGGTTATACGGTCTTCGAGCAAAGGGATGATTTTGTAGAGAATTTAATTTCCTACAAAAGCTATAAAAAAGTTTTTAGGGAAAAAAGTTTTTAACAGCGAAAAACCTAATTAAAACGAAAAAAAAAAATTTTCTGTGTTATTTCAATGGGAAATTAAATTTTTAAATGAGCTAAGCCGCTATTGCACTTAGAACCTTTTACCCGGCGGCATAATTTTTTATTTTCTATAAAGTATTAGATTTTCTGGTATAACAGCGAAAAAAAAAATATCCCCTAAAAATGACACACCCTAGTAAACATAAAATAAAATTGATTTAATTTAATTTAATTAAAACTCGCAGTTGACATATAGTTGGTTCTTCTTCTTCTTCTAGCAACAAAATTTGGGCTGCGTTGTCAAACTTCTTTTTATTTTGGGTCACTTTATTAAATAAGTGACCGAAAAAAAAAGTGTAATCTATAACGTAGGCCTTTTAATAATAAATATGAAAAATTCCCTAATTTTAACAATTTTTATTAAAAAATTCCCTTTTCCCTTTTTGGTACCAAAATTCCCTAAAAAGGGAAAATTCCCTGCAGTTGGGAACACTGGTCACGAATAGGAGCAAGATTTTACAGACTGTATAGAATCAAGTAAGTTAGGCTGGAGACAAGGATGACAAATTATATTCTGATCAGAGAAAAAGAAACAAACTTTCATTGGTTTAAACGTGGTTTAAACCAAGCCATTCGTAATTACGAACCATAGTTGCCAGGTTGTTTTAAATCAGAAGAGAACGATTATAATTATTTAATAAATAGTTCAATTTTATTTGTTTGAAACTTTAAAAATAACAAAAAAATTAATAATATGTCAAAAATAATTTGATTTAGTTAATTTCTTTACTTTTAATATTAAAAAATAAGAAAAACAACCCTTTTAGGAAACAATAATAGCATATGGCAACAGCGCGGCATGCAGCCAGATACAAGGGCATGCAGTTTGATCTACTGTTTGTTCAGTAGCTCCGACGCTGTCGTAGGGAAATGTGTATAATTTTTAAGAAATACATTTTCGCCATTAACTGGAATTTAATGGCTTTTAAACAATACTTAGTTTTAATTTGCAGAAATGCATTAAAACAAAACAAACGAATTCGATAAAAATAAAACCTATAAATTCTCAAACAAAAATAATTCTAAATTAAATGTTCAAATAGACTACCAGCAGCAGTTAAACAATACCCTAGCCTATCATAAAAATTCCTGCGCACGTTAAACAACATTTCAAGACTAATATCTCCCAATGTATTAAAGATTTGCACCCTTAATTCATCGAGATTATTAGCCCTGAGCTCTTGAAATCCATAAATTTTCGACTTGACGTATCCCCACAAGAAAAAATCACACGGAGTCAAATCCGGTGATCTTGGAGGCCAAAGAATATCTCCATGACGACCTATCACGTGATTTGGAAAGTTGTCATTTAAATACTCTCTGACAACCAAAGTATCATGTGCATTTTATTTGAGAAAATACTTTTTTATTCTTAAAAAGACGTACGCAAAGTCTTAGTGCACTTCTTAAAATGACGCACAGATCATACGACAATGATACGGAAAGCAAACAAATTCAATCCCTACCACAGTGGGCGGGGTTTGGCACTTGTTTTATTTAAGTGTATCTATTCGTTTTAATACACACTGAATACACTATATTTATACCTATTATATGTGAACTGAGACTAAAATAACCTTAAGTTTATATTAATTTATATTAATTAAGGCACTCAGTTGATCTTAAATTTACACCTGTATTACATTAAACCATACACCACTTATTTAACTAAACATATAATATAATAAATTGCATATTAATTAAAATAATACAAATAAATAAATAAATTTTAAAATAACTAGACATAAATTTTACAATTAAAATTATGGTAGAAATATAAAGATATTTTCCACAGAATATGGTGTGATTTTACCTACATAGCGCCAAGGGTTATTTAAGCTTTAGGGTACATATTAAATCTCAAATTTATTAAATTACTTCGTGAAGACAGAAATATTTCTTATTGGAAAGTTATTCAATTACCTGGCAGTCGTTTTACCCATTGTCTTGACTTAACTTTATTTTCAAAATGCTTATCTTGTTATATAACATTTGTTTTAATTAAATTACTTTAATCAAATAATAGAAAATTAAGAAACAACGAAACAGCAACCCTAAAGGGATTTTTTGTTGTCATCAACATTTACTCAGAGTTCATAAAATTGTGATTATTTTAAAGATTTGAAAAAATATTAAAAAACTCGGTTTAAAGACGACCAACCACTTTCAGGAAGACTAAAAATTTTAATCTAATTTTGCGCTAACATTAAATTTTGTTTAGGACTCCAGTATAAATTTACGTTTCTAGAAGGTAAACCTAATTTAAAACATTTTTATTTTATTTTAGATAATAATAGGGTTAGGGGCAGGATGGACCATATCGATTACTCTAAGCATTCCGCCGATATTTCGCGTGGCCTCCTATGATTATTTTCCAGGAATGGGTGGCTGTGCCCCGAATTTTTCCGTAGGAGTTGGAACCTTATGGTACTCCACTTTCTACACAGCATTTACGTTGCTTCTTCCTGCTACAGTTATTATATGTTGTAATTTAAAGGTACGTTATCATATTAATTTTTATACAGGCTTTCTATATGTTAATAGTTTACAGATATTAATGATAGCCCGCTACCACCGCCACAGAATAGCATCGGCAATCTACGAAGTAACTCTTTCGGCTCAAGTAACCATCACGCATCAAAGGAACCCGTTTTTCGTGCCGACGGTTACAGCGCCATCTTCCGGCGGCCCAAAGTTCCGAAGCAGTAACGCCATCTATACCGTGTTTCAGTTAGTTGGTTCGTTTTTAATATTGTACTTGCCATACTATTGTATTATACTGTGGGAGTCGAGTTGGGGGAAGCAGGAGAAGCTTCATCAGCATTATTATACCTTGGCTGGTGGTGAGTAATGGAAAATAAATAAACCTGGTTGCAAAACAATAGCACAAGTGACATTTTTTTATTTCTGTATAATTATCACACATAGTTTTTACAGCAGAGATTCTACATTGTACACAATGTAGCTAAGATGCTTTGGATTTTGTATTTGTATTTTTTTAACTGCAAAGAGCCATATATTTGTTTAAGCTTTATTACTGAACTAGTTAAATAAAAATGCAGAACAATTCACGAACAACACGCGGTTTGCCAAAAAGTGTAATAACTTAACACGAAATTATTTAATAGAAAAGATAAACATACGTCTTGTGGATAAAAAAATATCAAATAATATTCGAATGTAATACCACTAGAGGTTCGATTTAGCCGGATATTTTTTGACTTTTTACGAAAGCTTGAGGGTTTGACGTATTAATTTGACGAAAAGAAATTTGGGTGATAAAACCACGAAAGCGTAGCTCGAATGGTATTTGTTGAGAAAATTCCATGGGTAAATAAATTAAGTCATTTTTGTGTCACTTTGGCATTTCTCTATACAATAATACATCCGTTACTATGGGGAAAGTAAATAGAAAAATATTTGCCAATTCTGGTCACTTGCATTTCTGTTCCTTCCTTTCAGACACGTTCGAACTCTTAACGAGGTAAGACATAGTAACCGAGACCTCGCTTAAAACCAAATTTTACATCCCAAAATAAACTACTCCTAAAGTGCAAATTAACTATATTGCATTGTATCTACAGTGAATTAAAGGCTACCTTACGGTCACGGAAGTTATAAGAGGGTGACAGGTATAGAGGACGAACCACCTAACAATAGGAAACATTCCAAGTGGTAAACAAACGAGGCTTATTTAGAAAAATTACCGAAAGTGAAGCCTTTATCTTGACAAAAAGGAGACATGATATCAATATACTCCAATTGATGTAGGTGGAAGCCGGATGCAAATGAAGGGGTCGGATTTTCTGTAACATAATTTTTTGTTTTGCCAGAGGAAAAATGTTTATATAAAATTCAGGTGTATTTTTCTTTATTGGTACATCGGATCGTGTGGCAATCAACTGTTAATTATTGGTTACACCCTACAAGAGTATACTATTGTTCCATCTGTTACCCCTTACCATGAAAATGTTGTATTCTTACCTTACATTATAAGACAAAAAGGGCCGTACTCCGTTTTTTTACCGGGCCCCAGGGCCTCAAAAGAAGGGCAAAAAAAAGTAAAAGCTTAGTTTTTTTGTGACCTTTCTTATGTCAAATATTATTCTCTATAAATTTTAAGTTAGTTAAAAAATATTTAACCGGGCCTCACTGGCTATGAAAATTGAAAAGTAATTATATTGTCATTTTGTTGTGCAGCCCTTCGCTAAATTTGATATTTATACAGTAACTAATTAATATATTTTTAAATATTAAATTTATCCAGAACTCACCACAAGGAGGTATCTGCACCTAGAGTTCCATCCACCCTCCCACCCTTAGTAAATTAAGGGTACTAACTGGTATTGGAAGTATTGGCCTTTGTTGTCAAATATCGGCAAGTCGGAACGAGCTTCAAGTTTTGCTCTTATTTACCCATCCCTTGATGTCTCACCACACACCTTTTGAGAAGCCTCAATAACGAGTTTTACACACCGCTCCACAGATTGTGTATGGCAAGGAATAATATTTTGTAAATCACTATCACCTAATTTCAGAGTAATGGGAGGCTCAGTTATGACACAAGATTGCCAGTCCATAAGGTCTATGTAATCCTCAGCACTAAAATTAATTGTAGGTACTTTAAATATTCTGATTTCATTCGTCACACGTTTTCTAGCATTTTGAATCCTAACAGCCTTATGTTATGTTAACATGGCAATCAGAATATTTTCAGGATGTGTTAGTTGAAAAAACCTTATCAACTATTCGCATTACTGCATCTGGAAAGTCTCTTGAAGCTTTAATAGCTTTCCAAAAATGTACTGCTCCGTGTGTTAATAGGGGCTTGGTTTTAACTTGAAACCATGTAAAAGCATATACTTTTAAAATAATTAGCCTAATAGCACCTCCTTTCCATCCGGTATTCACGTTGGTACCGTCACACCCAATAACTTCCAAATCCATAGGATTTATTCTTTTATTTTCCAGATACTGAAGTATATAAACCCATATATGGGTTTTAATGTCTTTTGAACAAACTGGAGGCTGCAAGGATAAATGCCCGAAGTAAATTAAATACTATTAAATTCTTTTATTAACGATATGTGCTCTTCCTGTTTTTGAATTCGCAAACCCTCTACCTGATGAATGGTTAGATCTTTGCGGTCATCAAAGTAAATATCCCTTAGTATTTCTGTTTTTTTAGCTGCTGAACGATTTCGATTTTTATGTATCTCTCAACGTATTTTGTTCTTATCAATAACTTTGTCGGGTTGTTCTTTTGAAAATATTTTTAAATATTGTAGAACAGCATTGACAATTTTCGCGACGTTTCTATTGGATGTTCCCGTAAGATTGGCTGCTTTCGCTGTATTAGGCAAAGATAATCTTAACTTCGCTTTTGGTGTTTTCAAAATGTTTGTTTTTTTAAGAATAGGACATTTAAACTCGTCATCACTGCTATTTTCATGAAACTTGACTTAACTTAAGCGAAGATATCTCGAAAGTACTGGTTTCACTAGTACTTGGCACCCCTTCTATAGGACAGCAATTGGTTTCTTATCTTCTTTGGGTCTTTTTTTAATTTTTTTTTCAAGCTGTTTCATAACAACTTTATCTACGCCTGATATTACCATTAATCTTTCATTCCTTTGATCGGTTATAAAGCACCATTCAATTTTGGACAATTTTCAAGTCTTTTCACAGCAACATACCTCAAAACTTAAACACTTACAAGCGAAAACATCAAATAAGCCCTTTGAACTATTTCCAAACGCTTTAATTTTATTTTGAAGGGTCTGTGATTTTCTTCTTTTTAACGGCTTTAATATATTTTGATATTTTATGTTAAAATCCAAAATAAGTTTAACAATTCTCTGCTGGGACAATACAGGAATTGATGCACGAGCCTAAACCTGTTCAACTTTAAGTGCAACCTTATCTGCAATACTTGCCAAAGTAGGTTCTTTACTACCGCATCCTTTAAATTCAAGACGAATAATGAAAACAGTTGGTAACTGAGGAGTAGTCTAGTCCTAATAGATAGTTTTTTACCCATTATGGAATAATATTACACGCTAAATAAAATAAAATATTGCACAATAACTCACTACGGCATTTAAAACAACTAAATTGCAATAATTACATTTTAACAAACGCACCGGTAAATAACTTAAAAGTTAGGTTAATTGATAAACTTTAGACAATTGTTTAACATTTTTCGTTATAATTACTGGGTTGCGCGATTGCACTTTTTAATGAGGTATTTTTATTTTAATGTTTATTTGTTTGGAGCTCAACTTTACCTTGTTTTTAAGCGCTATTTTTTGTGTGTCGATCAGCAATAATAAAACAAACATTTTTTCAAGTAAGGCCGTATTTAATCATTTTAAAAAAGTATGTGATTTTTTAACCATGTCAGCTCTGTTGCTGCTGTCGCCAAAGCAATGTATTCAGCTTCTGTACTCGAAAGGGAAACTGAATTTTGTCTTTTTGTAGACCAAGAAACAATGTTACCAAAAACTTGTAGCAAAAATCCTGAAGTCGATTTTTTGTCCAACTCGCTGCCAAAATCTGCGTCAACATAACAAATCAGATTTTCTGCTCCTCTTCGTTTGTAACAAAGTTTGTAATTCAGCGTTCCTTTTATATAGCGAAGAATTCTTTTCAAACCTTTCCATCGTGCTTCATTTTGATCGTGTTGATACCTACTAAAGTAATTAACAGCTTGCATCCATTCCTCCTTGTCTATACGGGTTGCAATATCCTCAAAATTCTTTGGTACATCTTCTACGAAAGTTTCTGCGTGCATTGCCAAAATAGCATAGTCTTTAAGATAGGTTGGCAATCGGTTTTTCTTTTTGATTTTCGAAATTGTTCTTGTTGTTGGTCTTCTAAAATTCCTGTATTTTTGCTTTATGAAATTTCTTCATATTCTCTTTCTTTGTTTGAGACTTCGTCATCTTTGTTGTGAATCCATTCCTCGCTGCTTAAACCATCGAAAGAGAACCGATATTCGTCAAAAATTGCATCTCTGCCAAAAATGATTTTTCGATCTTCTGGGTTCCAAAATTTATATCCATTTGAGCAATATCCTATAAAGAAATATTAATTGACCTTGAGTCAATTTTTCCTTGTAGAATTTGTTTGGGAATTTTCAGATAGGCGATGCATCCAAAAATCTTCAATTTATTAACATTGAGTTTGTCGCCGAACCAAAATGCAACCGGAATTTTGCCATTCAGAGTCGTAGTCGGACTCCTGTTAATTAAATAGACTGCAGTTTGAACCGCTTCTGACCAAAATGTTTTTCCGAGTTTGCAGTTCAACAGCATGCACCTAGCTTTGTCTAAAATGGTGCGATTCATTCTCTCCGCAACTCCATTTTGCTCCATTTTGCTCTGGGGTGTATCTAATTCTCAAAAAATTCTTTGATTTCTTTCGAAATATATTCTCTTCATTATCACATCTTAACCGACAAAAATTGGCCCCCAGGGGTGTATCTAATTCTCAAAAAATTCTTTGATTTCTTTCGAAATATATTCTCTTCATTATCACATCTTAACCGACTTATTTTCAGGTTGAAATGAGCAGTCGACATTGCTTAAAAAATCTTAAAAAAATGTAAAACTTCACTTTTAGAATGAGGGGTGTATCTAATTCTCAAAAAATTCTTTGATTTCTTTCGAAATATTTTCTCTTCATTATCACATCTTAACCGACAAAAATTGGCCCCCAGGGGTGTATCTAATTCTCAAAAAATTCTTTGATTTCTTTCGAAATATATTCTCTTCATTATCACATCTTAACCGACTTATTTTCAGGTTGAAATGAGCAGTCGACATTGCTTAAAAAATCTTAAAAAAATGTAAAACTTCACTTTTAGAATTCAAATTGTAACTCGCAGTAAAATGTGTGTAATCATCAATAAAGGTAAGTACATATTTCTTCAAATCATGAGAAATGGGATTAATGGGGCCAATGAGATCGCTATGCACTAACTTCAGTGGTCTTGTTGCTCGTTGTCTCTCTTGATTGTGTGGCTGAGCAGGTTGTTTTCCTTCAATGCATACTGGACATAATTTCTTCGTTTCTTTTGAAAAATCAATCTTTATTTCACTGGTTTGACTCTGCATCTTCTTAACGTCCATAAAATTCAAATGTTCCATCCTTTTGTGCCAAAGTTGATATTCTTTATTTTTCGTGATTAGATTAGCAACAACAGCTTTTCTAAAATTCAGTTCATAACGTTGTATTTTATTTCTGATAGCAATTGCGATAATTTGTTCTTCTTTCATTATTAAACCACGGCCATTTTCAAAAATTATACAAAATCCATTCATTTCGAGTTTTCTTACCGACACCAAATTGTAATGAAGTTTTGGTACAGACATAATATCTTTTACCGTTATCTTATTTTCCTTTCCATTTACTATACTTGTGAGTTGAATTTCCCCGGTAAATTTGGCCTCCAGGAATGATCCAGATTTTGCGACTTTAATTTTCACTGGTGCGTCAAATTTCTTTGTTTTGGATAGCTTAACGGATTCGCTTATTAAATGTTCCGTTGCTCCCGAGTCGAGAAACCATTTCACTTTGTCGCTTGTGTGATTGCCTGTCAAGACTGAAAAACAATAATTGCTGTCGTTTTCTGGTGCTGTCGCAGCGCCTGCACTCTGAGAATTTTTATTTTTCATGTCATATGCCCTTTTTCTGCATTCGCCATAACGATGACCTCGTCTCTTACAATAGTTGCAACTGAAAGGAAACCTTTGCGATAAACTTCCTTGTACTTGCTTTTGATCAGGTCTCGGATACATTTTCTGCTGCGTGGCGAAAGCCGTCGATGATGGAAGTTCTCCGCCGCTAGTATTTGTCAGGTCATTCTTTTTATTTTCTTCATCTAATAATCTGTTTTTGACAAACGCGACAGTTAAACTTTCTGTTGACAAAGTTTCAATAGCTGTTACCACATTGTCATATTCGGGGGGCATTGTCAGCAAAAGATGACAGACAATATCAATTTCTTCCAATTTTCCACCCGTTGATCGCAAATCACCATTTTATCAAATTTCAAAAAGTGATTACCAAGAGTATCATTTTTCGCATCGAATTTCAGACTTATTGCTTGATCACAATGGACGTATACGTCCATTGTGAACCATAAAAAAACATAAGAAATACATAAAAAAAATACATAAGGATCACAGATAAGGATACATAAGAAGCGTTCACAATGTGCATAGTACGTAATCTTTACGTGTATGTGACTTATGTAAAAATTATGGAGTAAAGTAAAAAGTTCAAATAATTTAACTTTATGAAATATTTATGTAAATTTTTTGGGAAAATTCGGTGACTTTTGATTTGTTATGTTTTTATATTGGCAACATGTGTCAGTTTTTATTTATTCAAAGGTTTGAACATTAATAACCGCATTTCAGGAGTTCGATTTTATCCTTCAACGGCTGTACATCGCTTCATGAAAAAGTCTGAAAATAGTTGACTTTGACCCAGGAAAGATAAAATGGGGTTCCCGTTATAGAAATATACCGGTATTTCTCGACAATATCCCAAGCTTTGACCTTTCAGCGAGGTATTTTGTGATTTGTGCAATCGATTTAGTAGTAGTTTCAAGATTTAAAATTTCACATGTCCGTGAGTGGATGGCTTTGAGAAGCTCAAGGATGTAAAAACTTGTAACTGGGCAGTAAGAGCCTCGAAAGAGAGAAAAAAAGTATAGAAGAAGAAGAACCGCATTTCAATAATTGGTCTTCGAAAGTAGCCCTTTTTTCTCTATTTATAGGACGAACCCACCAGCGTCTTTTTCGTTTTGGTTTCACCCTATCTTGGCGTTCTTGGCAAGTTCTTAGAAGTAACAATAATAACAATTCTTCAGTCTTCAGTCTCACTCATTTTAAAAACACAATTCACAAATTTTATGAGTTTATGTCCTAAAAAATGACATTAGTTTGACATGCTCAACATGTCAATTTTTATGGTCATTGTGAACGCTCTTTGGGTTTTATGTAAATTTTATGGTTATGATTTATGATTTCATTATGTACCTTTTATGGTTATGTCCATTGTGAATCCACACTAAGGGACTTACGAGTAAGCAATTGACTGGTAATTCCTTTTCGTTGAAACGTATTCTCCGTACTCCAAAAATCAAATGCTGAGATTTTATCATACTCCAGATGACTATCGGCGATCCGCTGGATGATTTGTAATTTGCATTTTCGGTCCTTTTTTTCGTGTTTGGCCAATTGCTGTTGTTATGCTGTTCGTTGTTGTTCGCTGTCACTTTCGAGGATCTTAACTGTTTCTTTGTATGCTTCGGTTACATATTGCAGTAAATCCTTTTCTTACAATAGGGTTTCAACTTCCAATTATCAAAATTTGTGCCGTCAAACAATGAGATTCTGTATTTTTTTGTTTCTTCTGCCATTGTTCTGTTTTTTTTTTAATTGAATTAAAATTAAATTTTATTTGCCGCGTAGCTCTGGGCCCATAACCTGTAGACTTTAGTTGGAACGTGGAACTTGAAATAATTCTTTTATATATCTGATTCCAACTTTTATTATTAAAAGTTTTAATTACAGCAAATTAACAAACTGATTTTATTTATTATTTTTACTGTGACAATATAAATAAGAACTACTTGATATTTATAAAATACAAAATAAGAATTAATTGTCGAAACCCAACAAAAATTTAATTAAACAATTATTAGGATATATTTTTATTTAATTATGTTTTCTTGCACCCAAAAGAAGTTAAGTATTTAAACTAAATAATATTTTTTAATCACGCGACTTGGTTGAACATTTGTAAATAATTTATCGTCCTGGGTAACTTTAAATGTAGGCATGCAAAGAAAATAGGATCAAGGCAAAATATTTTTAAAACTACATCTGTAAAAAAATCACTCAGATTCTTAAATATTACAAATTTGTCCATACATACACACAATATAGATAAAATATATTACAAGTATATTGTATTTTTAAAAGTATCAATAAATAAATAAATACATTTTTAAAACAGTTTATTTTTAGCATTACTTATATCAACGATCCCGATGAACGCGTTCCTTTATGGTATCAAAAGCAAAACTCTTCGCAAAACCTTCCAAAACTACTGGCGAAAGAAACAAACAAAAAACGAAGTAAACCACGAAATCCAAGCACGCACGCCATCTACCTGCGGTTCCAGAAGACCGTCACTAACGCCCCTAGCATTCTTAACCAAACCTACTTTGCAGAGAAGATTATCAGAGACTTTACTGGACATACATAGAGGCTCAAAGGGTTCGCACAAATCTAAAATAAAGAGAATTGCTTCGGAGTATACGTGGAGACCATCTTCAGCAAATAGTTTGAATTCGCCAAAAGAGGAGATTAGCTCCAAGAAAATTACGCACACTGCTAGTTGTAATACTCTGAAAGTCCCAGAGGATGATGTGTCTACAATTGCCGAGGACGAAATATACATTAAAATTAAAAACAAAGGGTCGCCCACAAAACCCTATGCAGCAAATATGTTGATACAAAAAATATTTGGCATCGAACAAGAAAAAATCACCAAGAAAGCTGCGGCAGTGCAGAATGCGTTGGAAGGGACACCGAAGAGGTCACCGATGATTTTGATAACGAGGGCTTTTTCAGAAGAGAGCGACAAGTCTTCTAATGGGTCGCCTGCCAAGGAAATCACAAAGAACCGTTCCAGCTCTGCTAATACTTTATTTGAGAGAAAGTGGAGGCAGTTAAGGTAATGTTTTAATTAGAAAATCATATCGACAAAAGTACTAATCTAAAACTTATAATAATGACCAACTAAAAACGATTAATAAAAGGCTATATACATTAGCGACAATAAACTATCATTCTGAAAACCAAAATGACTACAATTTAAAATGACAACCAGTTAAATTATGACAAGCTAAAATTATAAGGGGCTAAAATGACATGAAAAACTATACTGACAAACCTAAATGACGATGAAATGACCACAACCTGTAATATTGATAACCTATAACAAAGACAATATTAAATGCAAAATAGTTTAAAGTATGACAAGTTAAAATTATAATAAGCTAAAATGTCATAACGACAATGTATAATGACACAGCTAAAATGATGAAAATCTAAAAGATGACCAAATGACTATCAGCAGAAATATTGACAACCTAAAATTATAGACATACTGCAATAATGATAAGCAAAAATATCGCCATGCTAAAATTTTAATAAACTTATAAACAAAATAAAACAATGGTAAGCTAAAATGTGAACAAGCTAAAATGACAATATGCTAAAATAACGGCAATTTAAAATGGCGATATGCTAAATCATTAATAAGCGTTTAGCTATATTTTAACCTCCCTATAGGGAGGTGAAAATGTCATACCTAGCTAAACGCTCGAACACGTAGAAATAATTTTTGGTCGTAGATTATAAATCCGTGCTTGGTTTAGCTGGTCAAAATTTAAAGATATTTAATTTTCAAGTTTTGGAGCATTCCATTTAGAAACATCCTCTATAAATTTAAAAAAATTCAATTGGGCTGCCTCTCACATCGGTTCCAAATTAAAAAAAAACAAATTCTTGCAAAATGACAGGTTAATTAATCAAAATAAACACGTCCCTGCTAAAAATACTTAAAAGAGACCCTGTTTAAACCGATAGATATTTGTATCGGAATGTATGGTGTTTGTTTAGGGTGTATCGGTATGTATGTACCTATAGGGTTGACAATGCATTAATGCTGATATTTATTGACATATTTAGAAAATTTTCTAGGCTAGAACCTCTATTATATTTGTTATAATATTATAGCGTCTCTCAAGGTCAACCGCCATGAGATATTAATATCACTCTACGCTATTAGTTAATACAAGACTCTCATGCTGCACAGTGTGAAAAAGTCAAATCAAACTGAATTCTCAGATAAAATCGGGAACGATATACAAACTGTTGTAAATACATACTTAAGTAATATTATTCCAGGTACAAAGATGAAGACAGTGACAATGACAATCTAAAATCGGGCTACAATACAACAACGAAACCTCTTTTGGACAACAGTCGAAGCAGCGACTCCAGCGAAACATCGGAAACATCAAGCGGAAAAATATTCATGGCGCTTGACCAAAAAATACCCAACGAAGATATGGAGACGACCGAAGAACACCACCTTTTAACTTGGAGTAACAACAAGAAACCAGACGACAGAAAATCCAAAACGAATCTGCTAAAGCAGAGTCTAATAAACGTGCCATCTCAAGAAGTAGTTCTCTAGTAATTTTTGCCATGATTTGGTTCTAGTCTTTTTTGTTTTCTTATTGTGATTTTAATATGATACTGCAGAGGACCATTTCTTTATTTATTTAAAAATATTTTGTTTTCTTATTGTGATTTTAATATGATACTGCAGAGGACCATTTATTTATTTATTTAAAAATATTCCAAACATTATAGAAGATTTTTATAACAGTTGGTAGCCCTGCTGGCAGGGTTATTACCCGAAAAGTTTCATGATTTTATTCTTGTTAGTTAAACAACATACAAATGATCTATAATGTTTGCAAGTTTAAGTTTAATTGTCATAAACTGGAAAATTATAACAATAATTAAAATTAACAGCATTAATCGTATCGTCATTTCGGTAAGGAGCCCGAACTGTTAATTTTGAGGATATAGCTAAATATGTAACTTACAATTAAAAAAGCTGCTGGCAAAAAAATTTCTGGGTGTCAAGCCCAAAGTCTATATTGGGCAAACAAAAAAAATTTTTAGGGTATCATTTTTTTTGCATTTACCAATTTTTTATAATTTAATTAATAATATATCGCACATGGGCGACAACAGTGTCATAAGTTAAAAAAAACTGAATTTTGGGATTTTTAGTGCAATAAGTGTAAAATTACTCATAGTTTATGCTACAATAGTAGCATAGAGATTTTTTAAAAATTAATCCCTAGATGGAGACTTGTGTCTGTCTACAATTTGTATAATCCCTATCATAATTTTCATCAACAGTGTCATAAGTAAGTTGCCTACAGTAATTTTGTTAGCCTAGGTTGGTAAAATTAAAGTTGTCAACAATAAAATAATGAATAAGTCACGCTCCTCACCTTAAGGCAAACGGTCGTATGTCTAGGGTCTTGTTTACCGAGTTCGTACTTTCATAGTGCTACCATCGCTATCGTTGCAACGCAACCAAGTGCATAAAAGGTGAAAATTACGTGTGGCACCTCCTTCTGGATTAAGTTCTATAGTGAAAAAGGGTGTGAGTGAGGTAATTGGATACAACGAATAATTTTTCCTGGATTACCAACCTGGATATCCAAAGAACTCATAAACAAGGGTTACATAAGCATAAGACATTAATCACTCAAGTTTAGATAAACATTGTGCAAAAGAAACTCATCCAAAAGAAATAAACATCTGTAGATTACTAAGCACATTAGAGGACCATAAATTAGGTAACCAACTGAAGTGGCCGACTCCTTAAAGAGTGAATACTTTCTATGCAAAATAATTAACAACCGCATAGTGGAGTGCAACGTTATTGTTAGTCAGCAAGCTCGGAATCCGACTCGGACAGAGACACGGACACAGACGAACAGGAAGTACTTTAAGACCAGCAAGGATAGCTCCTAGCAGTGTACTAACCAACCAAGCCCCATGCATTAAACCCGATTGAATGAGCTAATTAATAAATCCCTGGTTGAGGGGGACTCCGGATAGTACTTAGTGTTGAGTCAGTTCTATGTCCCTTCTTGTTACGCACTCCACTAGCCTAGATCGGGGGTATGGCCGGCCTGGCGACAAAATTCCGGGAGTGGCCTTAACAATCGACACTGTTATCCATGACCTCCTAGGCGATATTTACCTCCCGAGGTAAAAATTGGGATCCACCAAACACAAGCAATGCTGTGCAGAGGCGTGATACGTAGGAGAACAGAAAGGGGGTAAAATAACCCTGGAAGATCAGTGTAAGGCGTTGACGATGAGGCCCGCCATACGTTCCTCATACTCATACTCAACGATAAAAGAATGAATAATTAAAAAATTGATCAACACATTTTCAGCAGTACAGACATATCTGCAAAATTCATGCACATATTTTCAGCAACAAAGACATATCTCCAAATATCTTTTATCCAAAAAGTATTTTCTCTACGACTACTTAAGAATAGTAACATTATAGTGTAATTTTTGATCATAGAAAGGAAGTTTTTCTGCAATACTGTGCGAGAATATTCCTACTCTTGTTTAAGAATGGTCACAAGTAACGACATCTCCTGGCTGTTTACTAAACTTAAAAAATTTAAAAATATTTAAATATAACTGTAATATTTATTAATTAAAAAATAATAGCAGTTGTATAATTAAGGTTTAGACACAAAAAATTAGTTATATTTATTGTTTTTCAAATATACAAATCAAAATTATAATAAATTTGATATTAAAATGATAAACCAGTTACCTACTATACCGGCTTTGAAGTTTTGACCAGGGCCATATTACCCATTAGGCAGGCAAGGCAATTGCCTTAGGCGCCACGTAGAAATAGGCGCCTTGTCCCCAAACAACTTAAAAAAAATAAAAATTGTTACCAAAAGGTTTAGTTTTTCCAAAAATAAAACAAATAAACAATATACAATTGTAATAACAGAATATTATTTACTGTTTTTATTATTTTATACAAATTTAGCTTCCTTTGTAATAACGAGGTGTAAAGCCGACAAAAAAGCGTGCCGCAAATTCACTTCTGTTTTTATGCCAAATACATATAATACATATTATGTATTTCAGATAAAATTAATCAGGTGTTATAACACCATGCTTGATTACGAGGGCACTACGTTTTGAAATAGAATAAGATATTTTATTATTAACTGTATAATTAACAAATAATAATAAATCTTAACGGTAAACTGCAAACAAAAACTTAAAAGATAATTTAATTTGTAAACTTTACCCTGTATAAACATATCTTTAAACTCTTTAAACTATTTCAAAACCCCCGTATGCTCCAAGCACACGGATTCCTCTTGCATCGGGTACCCGCTGTGATGTGCTGCTCACCCCAGCGGGTACGCGATACTAGAGGAAACTGCTGCCGGAAGGACTTGGGTGTTTTCGCGTTTATTCAAGAGTGGCACTTCTATGTGTCGTGTGTTTGGTGATAGCAGTCTGTGTTCGATAGTTAAGGTTGATTTAGCCTGGCTTTTAAATTAAATTACGTTACGTTAGATTACGTTACACAAAATGCTGGCTAAATCCACATTTAGATAGTGTTAATTTTTCTGTTTGTTTTAAGGTATTTCTGAAATTTTAATATTGAACTAATTACAATAAACCAGCAGTACATCGAACATACAAATACAAAAAATGATTGATTTAATTTTTTTTAAATACTTACTAATGACATCTTGCAGAAAAAACGAACTTATAAGTCCTAACACTTTTTATTTACATTATATTTGTTATGTTTGTATGTTATTTATGTTTTTTATGTATTTTTTTAATGATAAAAAGTATTCTAATTTATAGGGAATAATTAGGTTATAATGCTCGGGCGCCCTTAACACGTTCGCTGCTGACAGCGTCTAAAGACGCCCACCGCTTCTTAAGTGGGAGGCGAATGGCGCCTTTTGACGTCCACTACAATATCGCTTATAATCCTTTAGTAGTCCTTTAGACGTCTTCCGCCTCTGGATAAATTTTTTTAGCAGGAGGATGACGACGTCTTAAGAGTCTTAACTTAAGACGTCCTAACCCTAAGGGCCTTATTTTTGAGTTTTTTTTATAAATAAAAGTGTTTTTAACTTTTCTGGTATTAAAACTGTTTATTATTTCCCAAAAACTATTTCAGTTTCTGGGGGTCGATTGCCCATACCAGTCAGCAGCGAAAGTGTTAAGCTAACAGTTTGGGGTGGCTCTAATAAGCTTTTTTAAAATTTGCCCCGGGCCCCGTAAGTATAGTATCTAGTTAGAGGAGCCAAATTTGTAAGTGCCTAAGGCGCTCAATTGCCTTAAGCCGGCTCTGGTTTTGACAGATTCAAAAAGTTTAAAAAAAGACCTTTAAAATGTAGAAAAAGAATAGATGTTGACATAGATTACTTGTAAAATTAGTTTTGTATTTGTTACAATCTTATTTTTTTATTAGTTAGTGTAAATAACTATTTTTAATTATAATAAAGATTTAGGCATACCATTTGTTTAAATTTATTATAATTTACATTATAAAATTGTGGCGGCACAAAATGGTTTGACAATACAAAAAACTTAAATGTCAAAAACTGCTTGGTTTCTTTTCTCTGTTTAAAATTATATAAGCGTTACTATTCTTACGTAGTCGTAGAGAAAATAATGTCTGAAACACGTTTGGAATAGCATATTCCACTCTCGTAAAACCGTCACACTCGCCTTCGGCTCGTGTGTCAAATTTTTCCTCGAGCGGAATATGCTGTATTCCAAACTTGTTACAGAATGTACTATTCTAAAGTCTAATTTTTAACTGACTTAAGTTAATATAATTTACAAATATGGGAGAATTTTATTATTCAAAAATTTTTGACAATCATTATCACCACTTTTACTACTTATAACACTGTTGTTGCCCATGTGCGATATGTATACATAGCTTTTTATGTACAGACAAATTTTGAAATTTGGTGTGGTTTTAGATATATACCGTTCTTCAACATCTTTTAAAAGGTTTATATTTTAAAATAAAGGCAAGTCATTTGAAATAATTGTAACGCTAATAATTATTTCTAATTTGCTATTAATATAACCCATGATAATAACAAGCAAAGCAAAGTAACGGCGCAGAGCACAGAACAATATGCACAAACTGCGCCGCAGACAACGCATAGCGGAAAGGTGCGGGCAGAAACAATTCGTATGAGTTCACGGCCTCGTTGGAACAAAAGGGTATTCAGGAAAATTTTAATTTAATAAATCGAAGTATAAACAATTTAATAATAATATTATTTATTTAATTTACAAAAGTTTACAAAAAGTCAACCATCTGTCCCTCTGCTCTATTTTTTTTAATAATCAATACTTTTATTTTATTTAGTTTATTTTCCTCTCGCCGTTATTAAAAAAAAATGGTTTTATTACCTCAAATATTATTAGGAAAAAGTAATTGTCGAAATTTAAAATTATAAAAAATTCCTGATATTTGCTCAGATATTTGCTAAAAACTATTTAAAAAGTATTTTTCCAATCCAATTTGTTATTATGATAAACAACAAGGTAATTTTTGTTTTAAAATTAATCCATTTAATTTATTTTATAAGGTAATATACCATGGTTTATTTATAAATACTAGAATAAAATTTTCTCAAATTACCTTGTACTTTTGGGTTTTAGCTATGTATACACCGTGTCCACCCTAAAGTTTGGGGCCTAAAC